GGCCGCCGCCGCCACCGCCTGAGGAGAACCGGGGGCCGTCACTTCGGAGTTGGGGCTGAGCAGTCGGCGGAGAGCGTGCGAAGACCGCTGCAGCCGCTGGCCGAGTACGTACCAACTCCCTGTCCGCGAAGTGCAGGACGCGTTCGTGCTTATGCGGCCGCGGGCGAACTTGTGTTGGCTTAGTGACCCGGCCGCGCTGGGGTCGGACGGCAGGCGTCCTGTGGAGGGAGCCTAGCGCGGCCCCCGCCGGAAAGCGAGGGTGGCTTCGGGCTCGTGTGGGCGATTGTGGAGAAATTCCGTGCAGCAGCACAGCAATGGGGGAACGCGGCAGCGGCCGGGGCTTGTGCGTTTTCCCTCCGGGAAAGCCACGGGCGCCTCGTCTGTTCCTTTAACCGAGTGGGGGTCTTCGCGCTGCGCCCAGTGAGTCGTGGTGTGCGGTTTGTTCTGCGTTTTGTGCGCGTGCCGGCCCCGGAGTTTTGCAGCAAGCGACCTTGCCAGGGGCAGTCTTTTTGTTTGTTTACTTTATAAAAGTGTTGCACTTAAGTGTAAATTTTTCTCCTGGGAATCCTCCCCTTCCAAATAGAGTTTTCGTTTTGAAAACGGAAGGAGAGTTTTGCTGGAAGTGTTAAAGAAAAGAAACTTGGTACCAAGGTGCAGGGAAGCCAGAGACTGATAGTGCTCCTTAGGGCCGAATGTGGAATTAGCAAACACATGTGAGACGTATAAGCCTGGGATGTGAAGTGTGTGACCTTATTCATGGAGAAACGTTGAAAGTGTCGTCAAATATTCGACTTGCATATATTTCAGTCTCTGAGATTCGAGGGGCATGGAAGATTTTGCAGTGTCTGTCAATTTAAAATTTCATCCCAAAGAGCCTATTTGGAGTAACCTGTCACTACCTACCAATCGGTTTGCCAGTGACGTGTCTGCAAACTGAAGGAGTGCAAAGATCAGAAGCTGAGAAAAAAATTCTCAGATCTTGTTTAAAAATATTTTGGCAGTTTTAATAGGTAATACTAGATTTCATAGGCACAGATGAACCGAATTTGAAACGGATTAGTCACGTAGGAAATGCTTAGCTGTTTTGTTAGGAAAGTGTGCATGGAATGTACCTGCTTATATTTAATTTTTTTTTTGCCCTGTGCAACATATTCAGTTATGACATTGCTCAATTTATGTGTGGATTTTAAGGAGATATATTGGAAGAGAGAATGCCTAAGATTGGCTTCCTTTCTATTGTGTACAGGCTGTTATCTTCCTGAAGACTTAAAAGAGCTGCTTGTGATCTAAGTGCCAATTAAAGTGGCTCTTAAGATTCAAGGGTATCTCTTTTTTTCCTCCATATTTGTGTTATTTGAGAGATTTAATATTGCCCTTTTATTAAGCCCTAAAAATTATTTTGTCCTTATAGGTATTAACGTGCCAGTGAGGTTTTTCTTGAGAATTTGTTAGATGACTGGAAGAGTCAGCTTTTTTTTGGTTCCTTTGGTATTTGATACTGGGAAAATAGGTCTTGAAAGAAAATAATTTCAAAGAACCTTTGGAAGGTTGCTTGTTTTAATTTTATTATTTTTTACTATTTTTGAATAGCTTATTTCGATGCCATCCTGGTATTGTAGAAATTTGGTGTTCCCTGGTCTAGTGATGGCCTGTTAAAAGCAAATGTATCAGTAATAGTAATACTTGTAGCAACAATAGGAAAATATCATTGAAGCATTTTAATTTTGTTTCATTCGGCCTGCTAATTGGTGATGTAATTCAAATGCAAAAATCCTTATGAGTTCTATAGCTGATAGAAGGAAATTTGGTGAGCTACCTAATAATTTACATTTAGTATTATTTCAAAAGTATTAATAAAATTAATAATAAAATTGAATAATCTCTGCTAATTAATCTTGAGTTGGGTCCGACTCGAGGGCACATAACAACAACAACAACAAATTAATCTTAACTGTACCTTTTTTGACTAACACATCACATCCGGTGCAATAGAGGAAAGTTGATAGATTTTCATTTTCCTAGATGTTATCTAGAGAATCAGTGAAATCATTAGATACTTACTTTACTACATTTGACTATGAATTGGTGTATTATTGAAGATTTCTGGGATTTGCACTGTGGATGCTATGAAAAAAGAAATTACATGTATTTACAAAGGGGGGAAGGGACCATTGAGGAGTTTGTTGTATAAACTTTAACAATTTAAAGTAAAAGGTGGTTGGACAGAAATAGAAGTATGTCACACATTTGTGTATTGTGTATGTTGACCTAGCGTCTGTCCTAAGACTTAGGCTTCATCTAGTGCATTTTAGTAAACCTGTTTTGTTGGTGGTGTTCCTGTGCATTATTGGAAATGAAAGTTCTGTGAAAATTTACATTTCAATGAAAGCTATATTCTGGACCCCACAGAACCATGATCTATTTTGTTACTTTGATGGAAGTGACCATGTTATAATATGTTGGATAGTTTAAAACTGTGCTAATGTAATATTATCAACTTATCTGTGCATATTTCATTATGGAGTTTGTTAAATATATTAGAAAATAAATAGTATCCACTGAAGTTTAATATAAGATTGCTAGCCCTTTTGCTTTGAGGTTATTTTTATCTTAGCTTATTCTTTTGAATGGTAGAGTGAAGAACAGTACAGTTGTTACATGAAATGCAGATTTCTTTTCTGATCTGACATATTCAATAACTTGTGCAGTAGTAGAATATACTCCCTTAAACTTAATAATGGAGTAAGTGGGAAAGTTGAGAAATTGATGTTGGAAAAAAATAGTAATCCTCATTTAGTCAGAATTCTCATAGCTAAAACATACTATTAATCTTTAAAATAATTTGTCATTTCTCAATGCGTTGTGTTTGGGGGCTGCATGTTAATTTATATGGTATCTTTATAATGATTTTTAAAGAGAAATTTGTGAAAAATGTTGAAATTGACATATATATTGCATACATACTGAGTGCTCAAACACCCACTGCCATAAAGTTGATTCTGACTCAATGCAACTCTATAGGACAGAGTAGAACTGCCCCATAAGGTTTCCAAGGCTGTAAATCTTTATGGAAGCAGACTGCCCCATCTTTCTCCTGTGGACCTGCTGATAGTTTCAAACTGCAGATCTTTTGGTTAGCAGCCAAGCACTTTAACCATTGCGCCACCATGGCTCCTATAAAGTGCTCAGGGGTCACTTAGTGTTTGTTGAATGACTTGACTGTTAGTCAGTTGAGGAATTTTCAGCCCTATTGTATGAAATGTAAGTGTTACCTAGTATTACAATTACACAAGTACGTATTTGTTGTTTAGTAGTGAAATAAATCTGATTTATATTTTCTAATTTTGATAGCTGAATTTAAACTTACACATTACTGAATACTTTAATTAAAATTTTACGTGATCTCTAAGCAATTTTTTCCAGGTTTAATTCAGAAAAGAATCAACAGAGAAAGAGTTTTAGTTTCCAAAATTGCCATTTATTTATTAGAAACTATATATTTCATTTATAGCTATGACAGTAATAAGATCCAAAAGTGTCTTAAGACCAATCACTAAATGCTCGATATAAATGTTGTGTAGGTAAATTATTTGGAACTTGAAACACATTATACAACCAAGTTAGTACCTCGGCCAGCCCATCATGAGAAACCCATGATGTAACTGAACTGTTTCATTATTTTAGCTTGAATTCTAGGTGCTAGGCCTAGCACAAAAGAGAGAAAAATTCATTTCTTCGGCTTAAGAATCATTCTTCCCTAAGTCAGATTCTGCCTTTTCATAAAGGTTTTCAGTTTCAACCTGTAGTGTACCCACTGCACCCTTCTCCCAGCTCTCTCTGCCTTCACGCTATATGACCCAAAACTTGGCAGTACTTCAGAGGTTTTCAATGTAGTCTCTGTCCTCACATTATCTGTTTCCTTCCTTCCAACTTCCCATCTCAGTCTTTCATTCCTTTAGCGTGCAGTGGATCCTGTCTGGATATTAAGAGGAAAACAATCTGGTGGAACTAATTCACCTTAATCGAAATGACTCATGGGCTTTTAACCCTCCCCAAGATTTTCCACTTTTTTTTTTTTTTGAAATGTCTGTAAGAATAGCTCAGATAAAGTAAAAATTTAAGGCTGTATTGGAGGAAGACATTTATAGTCTCATGCATAAGTAAGTCAGCACTTACTGGAATTTTTTGCCCTTGGGTTCTCCCCACTTCTGGAAAAGTCTCTTCTCTGGAGTACCATAGACTTCATAAAAGTGTGCATATATACTATATAAAAATTTTAGCACTTATTATTAATTTTAAGAGCCATGGCAATAATAGTGGTTAAGCAGTAAGCTCCTAACCAAAAGGTTGGCACTTTGAACTTACCAGACAGCCACTCTTCATGAGAAAGATGTAGCAGTCTGGTTCCATAATGATTACAGCCTATGGGGCAGTTCTACTCTGTCCTGTAGGGTTGCTGTGAGTTGGAATTGACTTGATGGCAGTGGGTTTGATTTTTGATTATTACTAATATTACACACACACACACACTTGATTCCTATAGCAGGGAAGATAGAAGACTCAAGAGTAGTAATTGTGAATTTGTTTGAATATAACAAGCATTTACAAGATGTTGTTGTTGTTGTTATGTGCCATCGAGTTACACTCGACTCATAGCGACCCCTCCTTGGGTTGCCGAGGCAGTATCACTACGGAAGTAGATTGCCCCATCTTCTTTTTGAGAAGTGGCTGGTGGGTTTGAACCGCCAGCCTCTGGTTAGCAGTCAAGTGCCTTAGGCACTATGCTACCAGAGCTCCCATTTACAAGATAGATATTTACTATTTGAGAATGACTAATATTGCATTTTAACCTATAGGAACCGAAGAAAAATATATAGGCTCTTTCCTGACTGAACTTGAACTCTTCTAATGCTGGTGTTGGGCCCAAACTAACACATAATGTGTATTATAGAACTGACTACGTGTAGTTCCTGTATTTGGGAGAGCATCCTTCGATCTCTCGGAAAAATAGCTACGTTATAAGAGTCCACCATATAATTTCTAAGAAAGGATCTATTGAGAATGAGAGAATGAAAAGGGCTGCAGGTAAAATAGTAGAATGTTCCATTATTAGGTTGGTAATTCTTTACATGGTGCCCCTTTTGGAATATAAAAGGAGGCTGCCAATCACATTCTGACTTGAACATTGGGTTTCAGCAACAACTTTTATAGAGATGTTATTCTACATAGAACACTTTACAAAGAGTCCAAACCAAACCCACCACTGTGGAGCCTATTCCGACTCATAATAACCCTGTAGAGGAACTGCCCCATAGGGTTTCTAAGGCTTGATCTTTACAGAAGCAGACATCTTTTTCCCATGGTGCAGCTGGTGGGTTTGAACCGATGACTTTTGATTAACAGCTGATTAACCTCTAAGCTACCATGGGCTCCTTTTGGTAGGAGTAAACTAAAAAAACCAATCTCAGTGCTATCGAGTCAGATCCGACTCATAGTTACCCCTCTTTGGGTTTCCGAGGCAGTATCACTACGGAAGTAGACTGCCTGATCTTCCTTCCAAGAAGTGGCTAGTGGTTTGAACTGCCAGCCTCTGGTTAGCAGTCAGATGCCTTAGGCACTATGCCACCAGAGGCAGATAAAAGATGAATGAGACCTTGCCCTTTTCCTCGGGGAGCTATAACCTGATAGTAACCTGTTCTACAGAGCCAGGTCTCTTCTCTATTCCTGTGGGTTTCCTATATAAAATTGCATAGCTTTTGTCAGTGTGTCTTTACTTGTCTGTCTCCTTAACTGATTTCTACATGAAAGACAGTTTTTCCTCTGTATCCCCAGGACTGGCTCAGCGCCTGACACATTTGAGTAAGTGAATGAGAAAGATGAGAGAGAAAAATATAAACAAAGTATTTGAGAGTTCAGAGAAGGAAGAGGACACCTTCAAACAGGCAGTATGGGAGAGGCTTTAGGGAAAAGGCCATGGAAGTTGAAAGGCGCATTCCAGGTGGGATACCTGGCCCAGGGACAGGGAAGTAGATGGCACATTTGAGCAATGCCCAGTGTATTTGTTTGACCAGGAATATAGGGGCTTATTAGGAAATGGAGAGAGAAGTCTGGGAAGATTGTTTTGGGTCTGGGATGCCTATATGATTGGTTTGGATTTCTTTCTCTATGCAGTGGGAACAAACAACATTGTAGTATGAAATGTGTTGAAAATGAGGTTGTTTTCAAAGCTAAGACAAGAGGCAATGAGAACTAGAATTACATGGTTAGCTTTTGAGGCAGAGAAAGAAAAAGTGTGGTGTTGTAGCCTAAGGACATGAAGATTTGATGAAGAGGAGAAAGCAAAAATGGAATGCCCACTTTTATTAATTGAGGAAACTTGAAGAGTAATAGTGCAGCTAAAAGAAATATGAGTTGGGAAGAGTTAGATTTGTGAATCTGAAAGAAGGGAGGAAAATGAAATAATCTAGTTGCAACAACAACAAATTTGAAGTTTTGACAATCCCTGGGCGGCAGTTGAAATGCCAGATTACAGTTCAGAAGAACAGTTTAGGCTGATCTCACATTTTTCAAGAATGAGGATGAGTCAAGAGCAAAGAAGAAGGAAGAAAACCAAAATTAATGGAGTCAGTCAGTCCTCGTGACTGGTACACCATCTGATCTGCAACCTATACAACTATGTGACCAGAAGAACTAGATGGTGCCCGGCTACCACTGTCAATGTGGAACAAAACTCAAAATCATTTGGAGGGAAAAAAAAAAAGATGGTGGGGACCAGGTTTGCTGGTCCAATAGAGTCTGGCGGAACCACCGAGACTATGGCCCCTAGCTGCCCTTCAGGTCTGGAATTGAACCCACACCTGTGGTTTCCAGCCAAACAAAGTACAGGCATGTGAGTTAAATATTTACCTCAAGTAGACACACGCCCTGGAGAGAACAATCATGGGAGAAGGAAGGGCTGCTTATGCTCAGGGAGATAGCTCAGGGGACAGGAGAGTATGAAGGGATGGACACTGGGAAGTGGTAACTGTGAGGAGGAAGTGGGAGGGGAGCTGTTGCATTGTGGTAAACTGTGGTCAATGACATGAGACAAAGTATATGTGAACTGCTGTATGGAAAGTGAATTTGCTCTGTAAATATTCCCCCAAATCACAATTAAAAAAAAAAAAAAAAAAAGAATGAGGATGAGTTGTTAAATATTAAATGAAAAATTTGCAAATTTTGATAATTTTACTTTTAGTATTCGTTGATTGAGAATATACAAATGATAAAAGGTATGAAAAGCTATGAATTTAGTTATACTTCAAAATTAAGATTGTGTTTTTTAAAATCATTAAAAATGAAAACCCATTGCCGTTGAGCTGATTCCGACTCATAGTGACCTATGTGACAGAGTAGAACTGCCTGCCCCATAGGGTTTCAAGGCTGTCATTATTACAGAAGCAGACTGCCCCACATCTTTATCCTGTGGAGCAGCTGCTAGGTTCATATTGGTGACCTTTCGATTAGCAGCCAACCACTGTGCCACCAGGGTCTCCCTACCTTCATGCTATGTTGTTGTCATGTGCCGTCGAGTCGGACCTGACTCATAGTGACCCCTCCTTGAGTTTCTGAGGCGGTATCACTACCGAAATAGATTGCCCAGACTTCCTTCCGAGGAGTGGCTGGTGGGTTTGAACTGCCAGCCTTCTGGTTAGCAGTCAAATGCCTTAGGCACTACGCTACCAGAACTCCTTTGGAGGCATAGTGATTAAAACATTCAGCTGCTAACCAAAAGTCAGGAACCTACCAGCTGCTCTGCAGGAGAAAAACGAGGCAGTCTGCTTCATTTATAGCCTTGGAAACCCTGTGGGACAGTTGTGCTCTGTCCTGTAGGGTCTCTGTAAGTTAGAATTGACTTGATGATAGCGGTTTATAATGGGAGGACAAGCAAATCCTTCTGTAGGTAATTTAGAAGTTACAAGAATGTTTTTATCCAAAGGACTGAACATGAGCCTAAAGAACCTGACCAATCACAGAACATGTAAAAAATCTGTGGTGCCCAGAAGGTATATTAAATAGAGATCTTCTAGTGTAGTTTGCCAGATTTCCCAAATCACAAGAATCTTCTGAGATGCAACTCAAACACTTGAGTCCCCCTATTTTTCAAAAATACTCCAGCTGATTTCCTGTCATTAGCAAAGAATGTTGTGGTTAGCTGTCATAAACTTGACCCCCAATTCATGGTGACCCTGTGCACAATGGAAGGAAACACTGCCCAGTCCTACACCGTCCCTATGGTCAGTTACAGATTGGACAGGGTCTTCACTTACTAGTTTTTGAAGTAGATCACCAGACTTTTCTCCTTAGTCTGTCTTACTCTGAAAACTCTGTTGAAATCTGTTCAACATCGTAACTCCATGCAGGCTGCCACTGATGGATGGCTCTGTGTGAGGTATATTGCCAGGAATTGAACTTGGCTTTCCTGCATGGAAGGCAAGAATTCTACCATTAAATTACCACACTCCTCTAGCAGAGAGTAGTGGGTCTCTAGTCAGTCATTTTTGTTTGTTTTGGGAAGTCATCAGATCACCTGGTAATGCTCATATTAGCTATTTTTAAATATATAGCCATAAAATTTTAAGAAGTCACTAGTTGATGAAAGCAGAACTCACTGCCATTGAGTCAGTTTGACTCATAGTGACCCCTCCTCCTTGGGTTTCTGAGACAGTATCACTATGAAAGTAGATTGCCCAATCTTCCTTCCGAGAAGTGGCTGGTGAGTTTGAACTACCAGCCTTCTAGTTAGCAGTCAGGTGCCGTAGGCATTACACTACCAGAGTGGGAAGAAGCATTTCCTCCCTTAGGGTGACTGAGAGTGGAATTTTTGTGTAGCATTCTGGTTGATGGAAGAAAGCAAAAGGCTCAGGTTTTGTGACCTCTTGTCTTTCAGGGATGTTTCTAATGTTCCTCTGCTTGTTACTATCTCCTAGTTAATTACTGCTTTATACTGTTCTGAGTTAGGAGTGAGTTACCATTTTTCCTTGCAGTTCTTACTCTGTCTCTTCAAAGGCAGGCTTCTCTGTCTTGCTTGGATTCCAGTGTATTCTTCCTTGCTGTGTCTTAGACCCTCTGCTGTTTCTTTGGAGGGCTCATCTACCCTTCTGGTATCATCTTACATCTCTAGCCCTGCACACTTAGACTCCAGTCTGTTCTTTTGCATTCAAGACGTTTCTGCTTAGCATTCTACTGTGAGCCATGTTCAAATGTGATGTGTTTGACAGGGAATCCTACTATCCTGATTTTTCTCTACCCTGAACCACCTACCCCAATTGTAGATCCCCATGTATGCAACCTTACAGTCATCTTTCTTTACCTCTTCTCTCCCTGGAGCCAAAGAAAGTGTCAATTAATTGTAGCTGTTTCCTAAACCTAAGTGATCACCAAGTCTTGTAACTTACTTGCTTTAAATGTGGCAGCTTCTTTTTTCCTGGTACCTACATACACCATTTTCTGTGTTCATCTCCCATTTCATATTGAAATCTGTTTTCCTCTGCCTGCTAGACTGTTCTTTCTTACTTTTCTTTATCTGGCTCACAGGGTTATTGTGAAGATTAGACATAACATAATGTAAAGTGTTTAGTTTATTGCCTGGCATAAAACAAGTACTTGACAAATGGTAGCATAGTATACTTTTATCTCTTACCTTTGGACTCCACTTTGGTGTCTATACGACAGAATCAGCAAAGGGTATAGCTTAAAAATGTGGGCCATATAGCCATATGGAGTATTGGTTTGAGTCCCTAGACTCCTGTTTACTAGTTGTGAGACCTTGGGAAAATTACTTATCTTCTTTGAGCCTTTACATTCTCCTCTTTAAAATGGGAACAGTTATACTGGCCTTTAGGGTTGTCAGGAGTTTAAAATGAGATAAAGTATATGAAGAGACTGCTTACTTAAGAGCTAATAGGTGTACAATGCTCCTTATTTTTGTTCTTCCCATATTGCATTCCTAAATCCTGTGACATCTAGCCTATTTGGTTTAAGAAGTTTGGGACAAATGTTATAAATATTTCCTTTCTTCTTTTTGCAGATTAAACCCATCCACAGTAATGGCTGCGGCCTTACCCAGGACCCTGGGGGAGTTGCAGCTATACAGAATATTACAGAAAGCCAATCTACTCTCTTATTTTGATGCCTTTATCCAGCAAGGTGGTGATGATGTCCAGCAGCTCTGTGAAGCCGGAGAAGAGGAGTTTTTGGAAATAATGGCTCTTGTGGGCATGGCTAGCAAGCCTCTTCATGTTAGAAGGCTACAGAAGGCTTTGAGAGACTGGGTTACAAACCCTGGCCTTTTTAATCAGCCACTGACTACTCTTCCTGTCAGTAGCATACCCATCTATAAATTGCCAGAAGGATCACCGACATGGCTGGGAATATCCTGCAGTAGTTATGAAAGGAATAGCAATGCCCGGGAACCTCATTTAAAAATCCCCAAATGTGCTGCCACCACATGTGTGCAGAGCTTGGGACAGGGGAAGTCAGATGTGGTGGGCAGCTTAGCACTGCAGAGTGTTGGTGACTCTAGACTCTGGCAAGGCCACCATGCCACTGAAAGTGAGCACAGTCTCTCCCCAGCAGACCTTAGCTCTCCAGCTTCCCCAAAGGAAAGCAGTGAGGCACTGGATGCTGCTGCTGCGCTCTCTGTAGCAGAGTGTGTGGAGCGAATGGCCCCCACTCTGCCAAAAAGTGACTTGAACGAAGTGAAAGAACTGCTGAAAACCAACAAAAAACTGGCCAAAATGATTGGTCACATCTTTGAGATGAGCGACGATGATCCACACAAAGAGGAGGAAATTCGAAAGTACAGTGCAATATATGGTAGATTTGACTCAAAGAGAAAGGATGGGAAACATCTCACTCTTCATGAGGTAAAAATCTCACATTTTTCTTTTCTATACATGTGTGGAGTGTTGCTGTACCATAGAGATAAGTTTGGTGATAACTTGCAGCAAAGAAGATACACATCCTGAAAGCAGTGTTAAAAACATTTAAGTGTTAGCAAAATACAATATTTTGTGAAAATAGACCATAGTTACTATGTTAGGGGTATTTTTTGCATTGAACTTAAATATGTTGGACTTAGAAAAATTTTAGAATTTAAACAGCAAAAGCATAAAGTCTTTACATTTAAAGGCAGCTTGTTTTCTAATTAAGAAACAAAATAGGACTCTCAATGTAATCATTCAGTTAAACATTTTGTAAAAGTAAAAAGAACTTAACAGCAGTTTTTAGCATAGAAAACAAAATTATGTTAGATGAATGTTGGAAGACTTCTTGCTACTTTGAAAATTGTTTCGATTGGCATTTAAAAACTCGAATTGTTTTATCTTTGTAGCCCTTGCTCCAGAAATATTCTGCATAAACCAAACCAAAAACCCAAACTCACTGTTGTCAAGTCGCTTCCAACTCATAGTGACCCTTCCTTGGGTTTCCAAGGTGGTATTTCTACTGAAGTAGGTTGCCCAGTCTTCCTTCCGAGTAGTGGCTGGTAGATTTGAACCACCAGCCTTCTGGTCAGATGCCTTAGACACTACTCCACCAGAGCTCCATATATTCTGTATAAACGGAAATACACATACAGCTTTTGCATTTATTCCCTTTCTTCTCCTGTCTGGCCAGTGTATCATCTTTGTATCCTCAGAGTCTTTTGCACCAAATAAATGCTTGGAAAATAAATGCATTTTCAAAAGTTCAGATGAACTTTTCATACCTAAATTTTTTTTTATAGCTATTTACTCATTAGAAGACGTAAAAATACTCAGGTTGAATGCAGTATTTCACTTTCAAAATCAGATCTTCCCTCCTTAGACTTACACTTTAAAATCGAAAAGAATATGTACAATTCACTGTAAAAATACTCAATCTTTACAAAAGGATGTGAAGTAGTCAGTTGCTTTTCCCTGTGTACTAATAAAAGATTATATTTTGCATATTGTTAGGTGCCATAGAGTTGGTTCCCACTCTTAGCAACCCTATGCACAACAGAACAAAAATTTTTAACTGAATAGTACACTCATGGTATATTATGCTATTAGATCTATCTTTTCAAGTCGATACACAGAGCTACTTTATTCTTTTATGGTTTGCATTGCATTCCATAATATGGATGTGCCATTATTTATCTTAACCATTCATTTTGTGATGTTTACTTAGGCTGTTTTCAATTTTTTGATGATGTTACGTACTGTGCGGCAATGGACATTCTTAAACACACCTTTACAGACTGGTGCGTGTATTTCTGTAAGAATGGGTTCTAACGTAAATTTATGGGATCAAAGAATATGTAGATTTAACATTTTAATAGATACTGTTGAATTAGGGGAGCTCTGGTGGCGTAGTGCCTAAGGCATTTGACTGCTAACCAGAAGGCTGGAAGTTCAAACGCACCAGCTACTTCTCAGAAGGAAGATTGGGCAATCTACTTCCGTAGAGATACCACCTCAGAAACCCAATTTATGCTTCCACCATCATTAAATGCATTAAATACCATCTTCTTGGTGATAATGGATTTTATCATTCTTTTCATTTTTGCCTGTCTAATATATGAAAACTATTCCTTGTTTTAATTTCTTTTCCTTAGTGCAGATAAATAACTTTTCATATGTGTAACAGAAATCCAATTTTATGTTGTTTGTTTTATTGGTGGAGCTGTTTGTCTTACCTTTAAAATATTGACTAGTAAGACCTTTTTATAATTTAAGAACATTAACCCTTTGTCTTAGGTTGTAAATATTTTCTCAGACTGACATTTGTCCTTTGACTTTGCAGAATGTTTTGCCATGTCAAGTTTAATTTTATGTAGTCATATCTATTGATCTTGTCCTGTATGATTTCATTAGTCTAATTCTCTTTTCTTTCACTAGCACAGAGTTTTTAAAATGGTTATGGCTTTATAATAGTTTTTGATTTCTGGAAACGCAAATGTCCTTTCATTAGTTTTATTTTCAACTTGTCTGGTTTTTTAGCTATCTCATGCATTTATCCTTCTAACTGAAATTTTAAATAAATGAGTATGTCAGGTTCCAAAAAAATTTCTGTTGATGTTGTAATTGGAAGTAATTTAAATGTGTAGGTTAATTGGAGAACTGACACATTTATAGTAATGAAACTTTCCTTATAGCATTATTATTTAGATCTTATATGTGCCTTGTAATTTTATAGTTCTTTTCAGATAGGTTTTGTATATTTCTTATTTAGTCATATACTGTATATCATGTATGTTAACTATTATATTTATTTTATTTATGTGGGATATAAAGGGGATATAATAAATGAGATTTTTTTCCTCATTGTTTTTTCATGGCTGTCATTACTGATATTGTATATAAATCTTGTTTACAGCAGTTTTAACATCTGAATTTTTTAAATAAATGATTTTAGATATGGATGGATATTTGAGTTTAAGACTTGGAAATTGCTTGGAAGAATGACTTACAGTAAATTTTTGATTTCATTGATTTTAGAAATAATTTTTTTTGTAATCGTTATGTATTATTGCTACTATGTAATAATTGCCTTACAGAATCTCCTGAATAATAATATTACAATTCATATGCACTTTGACACTTTCTTATTACCTGTGGATCAATGGAGGAATCCACTTAAATGTTACTCTGTTTGTCAGTAATAGAAAACATAGGCCAAAAATGTTGGTAATTTTAGTTTCATGCTTTGATCCAGTTTCTATATAATTTTGAAAACATAGCAGATGGAACACAAAGTTGAGTTAGAAAACCTGTATTTTTGTCAAAAATATTTTCACAAAGTTACTTTAGTAAATCTAATAGACTTCACTCCCCCCCATTCTACTTTTAAAAAATCCCAAAAGAATTATTCTACCCTCGGTTTTGCTGAACTCTTTCTTCTGAACTCTTTCTTCTTTAGATAAATAGGTACAAATGCTATTTAAGTAATGAGACCTCTGTGGGTTTCCCAAAATAAGGGAACACTCAAAATGAATTCAAGTAGGCTGAGATGTGGGGGTGGGGCCTTTGGAAAATGTGGTTTATGTATTTGAAACTTAGACCATTTGTTATTTATCATTCAAGTGTGTGAATTCTGGTCCAGTAATAGAGTTTAGGATGTAAGTTTATGAATCAGGAAGCTTTCTTCAAACTAGCTTGGAGGAAATGATAGAATACTGAGAGAATTAGAAGCAAGTGCTATTGTGTGTCTTTATATATTTATGATAATTTTTTATCTTTTCACTTTACTAATTAAAATTAGAGAAAGATTCTGAGTTTTTTTAAATCCCTGAGATTAAAGAATGTTCCTAGATTGTCCTCAGTTTCCAAATAAGGAAATGATGACTTATTCTTAATTCACTCTTGGCAATATTGCTGAGTGTTCTTTTCATATAAAACCCTTCTGAACGCTTTTCATCGTTCAAGCTGTTTGTAAGCCAGGAGTGGGTGAAAATCAGGAAGTTATCTATCTATACCTGAAATTTTTTTTTTTTCAATTTCCACAAATATATACGATCCTCTTCTTATTGTTTGCATTTTTATAATTGTTTATAAATGTATATAGGATGGTAAAAAATTATGGAATGGCTCATTGTAAAACACTTAGGCCATAAAGATGGTGAGAGGTTGAGGTTAGAACCACAGTAGTTGTTGCAGGGTTGGTGGTAGGGGACAAACTCAGAAGCAGTACTAGAAGTCCAGGCAGGCAGAATGTTCCATCTAGCCAGAGGCATGTTAGCAGATAATAGGTAGTAATGTAGACAAGCAGTGTACATCACATTTTATATGAATGAATGGATGAAGAGAGATTAAACTAAAAAGTTGGGAATAGGAGCTTGTAATAGTCAGAAATTTAAGCAGGTAACTTGGCATTACAGAATAGTATTGCAGATAGCAACTTGCCCCCAAAAAGCTGTAAAACTCAAAAAATAGGAAGGAGACAGAGGATGTATAGTGAATGGGGATGTTACAGACAGAATGGAAATCTTACAGGAACTCTGGTGCTAAGCAGGTTACTAAAATAAGATCCGAGGAACATAGAAGAAGCCATAATACCAAGCTTAGGTCATCTTCCAGTGTATTGTTGAGGAGTCAAGACTGAGTATTCAGAGCGGACAGATTTCAGCACTTAGTACTTGGGGGAAGGAAAAAAAGGTTAGATTTTCTTCTGATGATTTTTAAAAATGGGTTATAGAACTATTTAGGTAGTCTGTTTCTTCTTAAGTCGGTTTTGATTAGTTACATTTTTCTAAGAATCTGTCCATTTCATCCAAGCTTTTCAAACTTACAGCATAAAGTCATTTATAATTTTTAAGATCTAATACTGTTTGTATATATTATCTATTCCCCTTCTCCCTCAATCAGTCTTAGCAAAGGTTTGTCAATTTTATTGATCTTTTCTCAAGAGTCAGCAAACTTTAGCACATGGGCCAAGTCTGGCCCACCACGTGGTTGGTGGTTTTTTAAAATATTTTATTTTGTTTTCAGAGCAGGTTTGCCACCACCTGTTTTTAATAAATAAACTTTGGCGTACAACCATGCCTATTTGTTTTATGTATTATCTATTGCTGCTATCGTGCTGTATTGGCAGAGTTGAGTAGTTTGACATAGACATAAACTGTTTGGCTCATGAAAGCCTGAACTATTTTCTGTTTGATTTTTACGGAAAAACTTGCCAATCCCTCATCTTTTTGAAGAAGCAGCTTTTGGCTTACTTGATATTCTTAGTTTTGCAGGGTGTGTGTGTTTACTTCTACTTCCCTGTGATTTAATTTATTATTATTTTCTAACTTAAGTTAGGTGCCATAAATTATCACTAGCTTTATTGTCAAAGTTTTGTTAGGAAATTATTTTATTATTTTTCCATTCTAATGATTTCTCTTTTCATTAGTGATTTTTACTGTAATCCATAAATTATTTAGAAATGTTTCTTAATTTCCAAGAATGAGGGGATTTTTCTTAGTTATCTTAGTTTATCTTCAATGATTTTTAACTGAATTACACCATGCTCAGAGAGCATGGTTTCATGATGCCAACCCTATAAGGTTGGTTGAGATTTTAATTATGGCCCAGTATGTGGTAGGTGTTTCGTATGAGTTTGGAAACTGTATCTTTTGCATTTATTCATGGAATGATCTGTATGTGTCCGTTTTAACAAGTTTATTAACTATTACTCAAATTTAATATATTCTTTTTATTATCTGCTTTATATTTCAGTAGCTAAGAATGTGTGTTAAAATCTCCCACTATGATTGGGGAGTTGTCTATTACTCTTTTTATTATCCATAATCTTACTAATTTTTAATAATGTATTTGTTCTAAAAAACCTATATTGTTTGATTGTACTATAAATACATGAGCTCTATTTTTGTAATTATCTATTACACTTTTTTGTCAACCTTTTATTTTCAGCTTTTCTTAATCTATGTTTCACATACATCTCTTGTAAATTCCCATAGCTGGACTTTTAGAAATCTAATCTTTTATTTTTTATTTTGTCTTTTATATCCATGTACATTTATTATAATGATTGATGTTTTGTGCTTATGGTCATTATTTTATCTTTCATTTCTTTTTTTCCCCACCTTATACCTCAGACTTACCAGTTGGGGTTAGTTTTCGTCTGCCTGAAGTACATCACTTAGAATTTTCTTAAATGTCTGCTGTTAGCAAATTGCCCATCCCTAAAGGAGCTCTGGTAGCATAGTGCCTAAGGCACTGGACTGCTAACCAGAAGGCTGGTGGTTCAAACCCACCAGCCACTCCTCGGAAGGAAGGTTGGGCATTCCTACTTCCGTAGTGGTACTGCCTCAGAAACCCAAGGAGGGGTTGCTATGAGTCGGAGCTGACTCGATGGCAAATAACAACAACAATAACAATCCACTGGAAAATATCTTTATTTTGCACTAAGTCTTAAATACTTGTTCTGGGTATTTAATTCTGTGTTGTCCATTGTTTTTTCTTAGTACATTGAAGATACCATTTCATTGGCTTTTGGCTTTCATTGTTGTATTTGAAGTCACCTGTTACTCTGTTATTTCTTGGCTTCTTTTGAAGTCTTCTCTTTGTCCCAGTTTCATTTTCCTCTCCTTCTGAATTCATAGTTTTTAATGGTCATTTTTACTGTATTACTCTTTAGTCATATGTTCAATTTCTTTTATTTCTTTAAATGAAGTCTTCGAGGGTCTATTTCTGTTGTCTGTTGTTTCTGCTGGGTTTCATTTTTGATTCCTATTTCTTTGGATATTTTACTCTGTCCCTGACCTCATTATTTTTTTGGAACTTTATGGGAATGTTTTGAAGCTTGGAAAGAAAGTGGATCCCCCTAGAGTGTATTTGCTTTATCTTCTACCAGGCATCTGGGGACACTACTACTCCCAGACCCCCTGAAATTAAATTCTAAGCCCACTTAGTGTGAATCAGGACTGAAGATCCATGTGAAGGGTTGATTTGGGGTTATGAAATCTCCAGAGAGTATCTTCTCTTCTCTCCCACTGAGCACCAAAGTTCAAGACAGGTAATTTTCTTTGCATTCCCTTAGGGGTACAGGTGTATTTCTAATTCAGCCTTACATTAGGATGTCAGCTTTGGTAAGGAGAGGTCTTAGACTCCTCACTACTTACCTTTGGTGGGCCCTGAGCCTTCCCTTTTGTTCCCTTCCCACATCTCCTAGTTTTATGAGACTCTGAAGATTGAAGCATGAGTTCATCTGCTTTAGCAGTTTTTGTCAACCTACTGCTTGAAATACTATCTTCATTAACTTTGGCTTGAATAGACTTTACTCTTGGCCAGTTTATTGATGCATTTAGGATAATGGATTCCTCCCACAATTTTATGCAACATTTTTAGGTTTCTGTGAGGGGGGCCAGTCATCATACTTACTCCCTCCCTAGTGCTGGAAACAAGAGTCCTGATTGCCTTTTGCGCTTCGCTTCACACTACATAGTATTTTCATGCCAACAATTCTTAATCAAAAGTCAGTCATTTGATTATTAAAGGTTGTAGTTTTAGCTACCTATAAAGAAAGTTTTTCTTCGAATCAATAAGCCATTCTTCTTGAATATAAATTCAGTAAGTCTAGTTTTTAAGTCCAGTTATAATTGTAGAAATTTAACTTTAGAAATACTTTACAAGAAGATCTGAATGAAATTTTGACATTTTGGGCCATGGAAATAAGTGAAGGAAGTAAGCAAGTAAGGGAGAGTATCTTGTTCTTTATTTGTACTTTTAACAAAACTATTTTTTAAAAGCTAATGTAGTGGTTGAGTGAGTAACCCCTATTGTGGAGCATTTGTGTCATTTTTCTTTTTTAAAAAGTATATTGCAATAGTTACTGTGGCTTAGAGGCATGGAATCCAAGTAACACTGACAGAACATACATCTTTGAGGGAGGATTTGTGAATCAAGTTCTTTTTATTTCTTAGGACGAGCTATAGTTACTTCTCCAGTCTCAGTTTTTTTTACCAGAAGGCTCCCTGGATTGAACCCGGAGAGTTCAGTCACTTTTTCAGTCTGTTTTAGCCTGAATCGAGGAAGAAAGAATGTGTTAGCTGTGTTTTTTGGTTTCTGGTAGAATGATGTAAGGAATAGCAGAACACTGTTTTCAGTTTATGTTGAAGTTATTTTCTACAGTTGTGTATAGCTAATACTTCCAGAATGTTGTCAGTTTAAATGTATTATTGACAGTCAGAAGTTCTCTAGGGTAATTTAGATTTATGAGTACATAAAAGAAACAGTTCAGTGAAAAGCAACCCGAGAAGGGTCTTCAAGGTCATTGTAGCTACTGCCATGTGGAAATTGTAGTTTCTTTAGGAAATCATTTTTTAAAGTTCATTTTTCTTTTAGCTGCAGTACCATTTATTGCGCCTTTCAAAAGGAGAAATTCATATATTGATGATTGTTGAGGAGGAGGGGAGAAGGATGAAAATAGATTCTTCCTCTAGTCATCCTTCATATTCGACTGTAGGTTTTAAGGTAGGGAGCCTAGACTTACTGTCATACCCTTGTTGTCAGTAACCAAATAATTTTTCTTAGAATTAACTAATGTAAATAACAGTGGAAATTTGGGATGGAGGATGTTAGATACCTATGTTATACCATATTCCATAACACATTCTAGATGGATTAAATAAAGGGAAAAAATGAAAGTATTAGATTAAACTATAGGAGAATATTTCTGTTTTTTTTTAAGATGGGAAAAGTGTTTCTACACATGGCACCCAAGGCAAAAACAATAAGATTAAAAGGCTAATGACAAACTGGGAGCGGGATGGGGTGTATGTGGTTACTATATGTGATGAAAAGTTAATGTTGTTAATACATAAGCAATTCCTAATGTCCATAAGAAGATGCTGAGGAGCAAGGATGTCTCCTTGAGGACTAAGGTGCGCCTTACACAGGCCATGATATTTCCAGTCACCTTGTATGCATGTGAGAGTTGGACAGTGAATAAGGAAGACTGAAGAAGAGTTGATGCTTTTGAGTTGTGGTGCTAGCGAAGAATGCTGAAGGTACCATGGACTGCTGAAAGAACCAACAGATCTGTCCTGGAGGAAGTGCAGCCAGAATGCTCCTTGGAAGCGAGGACGGCCAGACTTCGTCTCACCTACTTTGGTCATGTTGTCAGAGGGGACCATTCCCTGGAGAAGGATGTCATGCTTGGTAAGGTGGAGGGTCGACGAAGGAGGGGAAGGCCTTCGATGAGATGGATTGACAAGGTGGTTGCGACAATGGGCTCAAGTATAGCAAGGATCATGGAGCTGGTGCAGGATCGGATGGTGTTTCGTTCTGCTGTGCGTGGGGTCGCTATGAGTTGGAAGTGACTCAGCGGCACCTAACAACAACAACAATATAAGAAGATGAAAGAGTGGCATAGAACAGACAAATACCATGAGCAAACAGATTTCAAAATAAGTCAAATCATAAGAGAACATTTCAGTTTTAAGAAATACAGATTATAATAAGATGCCATTTTAACTGCTTCAAATTGGAAAAGCTTTTATAATATTGTGACTAGTATTGGTTAAGATTCTGGGAAGTGGACTCTATATACTTTCTACTGTTCATTTTCCTATTGGCCAGTAAAACTCCAAATATAAATAAAATTAAAGCATATAAATAAAACCAAGATGAGTATTTTGATTAGTTTGGGTTCTGAGATGTGGTAGATGACATGATTTTCTTCTGAAATTAGGCATGAGGAATAATTATGAATAAAGACCATCCATATTTTTATAAATTATGATTTCATTATATAATGATATGTCATTTTTTTAATTCCTAAGTGAAGCATTTTACATATTGATGAAATAACACTGTTTACATTTTTTTAAAACTATTTTGGGTTAATGAAGCTCACCGTTAATGAAGCAGCTGCCCAGCTCTGTGTGAAGGATAATGCCCTGTTGACTAGAAGAGATGAACTTTTTGCCCTGGCTAGACAGATTTCTCGAGAAGTCACCTATAAATATACTTACAGAACTACCAAGTAAGTGTGTAACTGTTCAGTAGTATCTTTGCATTGCATGGTAGAAGTAGTATTTAAAACACTGTCAACTGATAGGATATAAGCATTTCTGAAAAAGTAGAAATGTAATTATAATTCTGAATTATAAAATTAAACAGTGCAGTGACTTTTCAAAGCATTATTGCTAGAGTGATTTCTGTTTGTTTATTTCTCTTCTGTTTTCTCTTTTAAAAGACACAGTTCCCTACCACTGTAGCATGGATTTGGTGATGGTTTTAGACACTCCTCTGTCACACATATGCTTTGGTTTTGAGTGTGATGAGGGGATTTCATCCATCAGCATTCATGCTTTATTTGTATACCTTCTAACCACATGAACTTGTTGAACTCTCTTAGTTTCCTTTGGCCCAATATTTAAGTGAAAGTTTTTATTAGAAAGTAAAATTTGGAAAGCCAGTTTGAAATTAAAGACTAATATTAGAAAGTAGTGATGATTTTAGAGTTTAAAGTAAATATACCATGTTATTCTTCATCTTCTCCTCACTTGAACCTTAAGCATTGACTACAGGTATAGGACATTATGATTTTGTTCACCTGGTTCTACAAGCACCACAATTTCCAGTGTGTCATCTTTGTGCATGCCATTGCATCTCTGAGTAGCCCTGGGTACTTGTGGAAAAGTCAAATAGTAGTGAGCACTTTCTCAGGCCTAATCGGTCATAATCTCCGGGGAAAGGGCACTGGAATCTGAACTTCGACTAGCATCCCAGATGATTCTTGTGCAGAGCCAAGTTTGAAAACCACTAGTATTAGAAACATTATTTTCTATTATCACCATTGTTTTCCCTAACTCATAGCAGCTTCATTTTCTGCCTGGTTCAAGTACCTGTATATTTATAAACTGACAAACTTATGTAGACTAAATAAATAGGGTAAGAATATGCAGCAACATTATAGGATTATTTATAAGAGAGATTTTTTTTTTTTTGAGTTATGTAATTAAGAGCTGATTTAGTTATTTTCCATTTTCTCCACTGTTGTATTACCAAAATAATTTTTCTTAGCTACTTTATTTAAATATTTTTTGAAATTAAAGTAACACATATACATGATATAAGAGGTCATATAGTATACAAGTTTAACAATGAAACAGCTGTTCCCCTGCTTTTGTTTTATAGTATATATTTTATTTTCATATTTATGTTGTATTTTTATACATTTGTATTCTCCTTTTATTTTACTTGGAATCTTTGCATGTTACTATATATTATCTTCCTCATTATATTTTACTGCTGCATGGTATTATATTATTTGGAAGTATCATGATTCATTTAACTAGTCTTGTATTGATAGATAATTGATAGGTACTTGAGCTGTTTCCAGTCCTTTGTCATTAACAAATAATACGACAGTAAATAACCTCATAAATACCGTATTTTGTCAAGTCTGAGGTGCACTTTTTTTAAAATAACATTTTAGCATTTCTGAAATTGGGGTACAACTTAGGGTAGATAGTTTTTCATCGTTTAATTGGTTATTATTTCATAGTGGTACATGAGATAATGGTGTGTCTTAAAATTGATGGAGATACTGTTTCATGTTGTAAGTCTCTCTGTGGGAGAGATTACTAGCAGAGGGATAGCTGGGTCAGGGTTTTGTAAAAGCATCTGTTGTTTTGATAGAGAGACAAAATGCATTTTCATCTCATATAGTCTTGAAACTGAAACAATTTTTATCCTACTGAATCATAAAGGGATATCATGGAATGCATCCCGCTTTGATTTTTGTTCTTGTTCATTATGTAATAATCATTAAATATGTATTGAATTCTTTCTATGTGAGGGGTTCTTAGGTTGGAACCGCTTTCAATGTATTTATGTCTGCATACTCCTCTAATTTGCAAATCATGAGAAGACATATTTTTTATTATTTTAATGTTCATTATGACTATATCTTTTGTATCTGACATCAGGGTTGTATATTTTCATCAAAAGTTGTGTATTGAGATGCCTTTAGAATAAACATTAATTTTCTCAAATTTTTCTTTACCTTTTCCCCAACCCTTAGGTCAAAATGTGGAGAAAGAGATGAATTATCCCCAAAGAGAATTAAAGTAGAGGTATGATTATGGTATTATGTTTAAAAAAAAAAAAAAAAAAAAAACTTTATTGTGTTTGGGGTGAAGGTTTCCAGAGCAAATTAGTTTTACATTCAGCAATTCATACACATGTTGTTTCATGCCGTTGATTGCAAACAACACAATGTCACATCACTCATCCCACTTCCTCCTTGTGTTTCCCATTTCCATTCTCTCTCCTTTTGTATCCCTTCCTGCCTTCTGAACTTGATACTTGGGCAAATGCCACCCTTTGCATCTCAAATGGTTGATTGTTCTACAGAGTGCATACATCCCTGGTGTTACTGTTCACCTTATAAACCTGTCTATTATTTGGTTGAAAGTTGAGCAGCAGGGGTGAGTTCAGTTCCAGGCTTGAAACGTGACTAAGGGCCATAGTCTTCTTGGGGGTTCCATCAGTCTCTGTCTGACCAGTGAGCTTGGTCTTTTTTATGATTTTGAATTTTCTTTCACATTTTTTTCCAGCTCTATCCAGACTTCTAGTAATTGTTTCATTGGCAGTATTATTTCATACTGGTACATGAGATAATGGTATGTCTTAACAATTGATAGATTATGCTGTTTCATTGTGTAGGTATTTCTGTGGGATAGATTACTAGCAGAGAGATTGTTGGGTCAAGGGTAAATGCATCTGTGGTTTTGATAGACCAAACGTGTTTTTATCTCATGATGAAAGCTAAATGCCTCTCAGATCCTTTTCAGAGCAGTCAGTAGTGGTAGCCAGGCACCATCTAATTCTTCTAGTCCCAAGGTCATGGAGGCTGAGATTCGTGTGGTCCATTAGTTCTCAGGACCAATTGTCTCCTTGCATCCTTGAATTTCTTCACTTTTCTTTGCTCTGTTCATGGAGAGACCAATAGTTGCTACTCAAATGGCTATTCTCAAGCTTTTAAGACTAGTTACTACAACAAAGTAGGATGTAGAACATTGTCCTTGTAGGTTATGTTATGCCACTTGACCTTGATATCCCCCAAGAGTATGGTCCTGAGTGCCCAGGCCCAGCAACTCATTCCCTCAAGGTGTTCGGTTAAGGCTAAGAACTTAAAACTTCAGTTAAGGTTGAGAACTCATAACTTGGCCTTGTTTGCTCTCCTATGTTCTTGGATATATTTGCAGCATATGTAAATACATAGGGAGAAATGTTCTCTGTCAAACCCATATATATTCATAGGTGTAGTCACATTTCCCTTCCTACACCTGTTCACCTTGCATGTCTGTCTGTGTAGTCACTCGTAGATTATTGTTATTACTGTTATTGCAGGGTAGTGTATGTAGGAGTATTTACTTCTGTTGCTTTTAACTCTTATGCTCCTCCCAATGTCTTCCTTTGTCTTGATCATTTTGTGCTGAAGCCTTCTCCTTCACCTACATTAATACGTGCCTACCCTCCGGTTAGTGATTTATCCTTCCTTCCACTTCCTACCCCTGGTAACCTTTTAGAATGTTTCTTTCCATTTGAAAACATTTCTTCACTTTTTATAATAGTGGTCTCATCCAGTATTTGTCCTTTTGCGATTGACTAATTTCACTCAGCATAATACCCTCGAGGTTCATCCATGTTATGAACTATTTCACAGATTCATCGTGATTCTTCTGTGTTGCTTCTTAATCATATGGTGTTTTTATTTCCAACTTCCTGAGAAAGCAAAATACCGTATTCTACGGTGGCCGCACCATTTTACAGTCCCACCAGCAGTGTATGAGTGTTCCAGTCTCACCAGCATTTGTTGTTTTCTGTTTTTTGAACTTTTGTGTTAATGCTGGAGTTGTTTTGTTTTGCAACAAAATCATTAATCATTAATCATTAATGGCTAATGATCGCCAGCATTTCTTCATGTATTGTTGGCTTCCTGAATGTTGTCTTTGGTGAGATGTCTGTTCATGTCCTCTGCCCATTTTCAAATTGGATTGTTTGTCGTTTTGTAGTTGAGGTGTTGAAGTTTTTCTATGAATTTTAGAAATTAGCTCCTTGTCTGATATGTCACTGCCAAAAAAATTTTTCCAGTCTGTGGGTTTTCTTTTCATTTTTTTAGTGAAATCTTTTGATACATGTTAAGTGTTAAAATCAAGGGTGGATTACAATACCCTTATTCCCATCACTGCCCTGATCTGATGTAAGAGGAGTGTCCTGGGCTGTGGCCTGCAATACCTGTTATCTTATAAGAGATAAAAGAGAAGGGAGAAGAGGGGGGTGCCTACTACTACCAAGAAGGAAGAGTTGGAAGTGGAGCACGTCTTTTGGACCAGGGTCCCTGCGTTGAAAGAAAAAGCCAGGGGCGGGGGACCAGGACAGAGTGAGGAAGCAGTGTCAGGGATCCAGGTAAGGCTGGGGACCCAGACTACGCCCCCAAGTGTCAGGAAAGAGGCAGGGTTCCATGTAAGGGGAGGGTGGGGAGGGTGGAGAGGTTTTGAACAGCTAAGGGAGATAAACTTGTCTGTCAGTTTGTCCGACTGTGGTGCCTTGTTGTTGTTAGGCTTGAGGCTGTGCCACTTGTGTCTCATATCCAGCAGGGTTGCACATGGTGCACAGGTTTCAACAGCTTGCAGACTGAGACAGATTAGGAAGAAGGAGGAGGCCATCCGCTTCTCCAAGAATTGGCCAGGGGAAACCTTATGAATAGCAGAGAAACACTGTGTGATACATTACTGTGCAACTTTATGAATAGCCCAGAAACATTGTCTAGTACAGGGCAGGAGGATAAGCCACTTAGGTCGGAAGGCTCTTGAAATAGGACCAGGAAAGAGCTGCATCATCAGAGTAGAACAAGCCTTACTGATATATATAAGGTAAAGCTTTCAAGACCTCATTTGCTGACGCATGACTCAAATTGAGGAGAAACAGCTGCAGACATCCATTAATAATTGGAACATGGAACGTACAAGGTATGAATCTAGGAAAATTGGAAGTTGTCAGAAATGAAATGGAACACATAAAGATTGATATCCTAGGCACTAGTGAGCTGAAATGGACTGGTTTTGGCCATTTTGAATCAGACAACCATGTGTCTACTATGCTGGGAATGATAGTTTGAAGAGGAAAGGCATGGTATTCATCATTACAAAGGATGTTTCAAGATCTGTGCTGAAGTACAGTGCTGTCAGTGATAGGATAATATCCATATGCCTACAAGGAAGACCAGTTGATATGACTATTATTCAAATTTATGCACCAGCTACCAAAGCCAAAGATGAGAAAATTGAAGATTTTTATCAGCTTCTGCAGTCTGAGATTGACTGAACATGCAATCAGGATGTGTTAATTATCACTGGTGACTGGAATGCAAAAGTTGGAAACAAAGAAAAATCACCGGTAGTTGAAAAGTTTGGCTTTGGTGACAGAAATAATGTTGGAAATCATATGATAGAATTTTGCAAGAGCAATGACTTATTCATTGCAAATATCTTTTTTCAGCAACACAAACGGCGGCTGTACATGTGGACTTCGCCAGATGGAATACACAGGAATCAGACGGACTACATCTGTGGCAAGAGATGATGGAAAAGCTCAATATATTCAGCCAAAACCAGGCCAGGAGCTGATTGTGGAACCAGACCATCAACTGCTCATGCATGTTCAACTTGAAGTTAAAGACAGTTAAAACAAGTCCACGAGAGCCAAATTATGATCTTGAATATATCCCTCCTGAATTTGGAGACCATCTAAAGAATAGATTTGATGCATTGAACACCAGTGACTGAAAACCAGAAGAATTGTGGGGTGACATCAAGAACATGATCCGTGAAGAAAGCAAGCAGTCACTAAAAAGATGAGAAAAGAAGAGAAAACCAAAATTGATGACAGAAGAGACTCTGAAACTTGCCCTTGAGCAGAGAGTAGCTAAAGTAAATGGAAGAAATGACAAGATAAAAGAGCTGAACAGAAAATTTTAAAGAGCAGCTTGAGCAGACAAAGCCAATTACTGTAATGAAATGTGCAAAGACTTGAAGTTAGAAAACCGAAAGGGAAGAAGACGCTCAGCATTTCTCAAGCTGAAAGAACTTAGGAGAAAATTTAAGCCTCGAGTTGCATACTGAAAGATTCTAAGGGCAAAATATTGAATGATGCATGAAACATCAAAGGAAGATGGAAGGAATACGGAGAGTCACTGTACCAAAAAGAACTGGTAGATCTTCATCCATTTCAGGAGGTACAGTATGACCAAGAACCAATAGTACTGAAAGAAGAAGTGGAAGCTGCACTGAAGGAATTGGCGAAGAACAAGGCTTCAGGAATCTCAGTACCCATTGAGATGTTTCAACAAACAGATGCCCCACTGCAGGCACTCACTTGATTATGCTGAGAGATTTAGAAAACAGCTACTTGGCCAACCGACTGGAAGAGATCCATATTTGTACCCATTCCAATGAGAGGTGATTCCACACAATGTGGAAATTATCCAACAATATCATTATTATCGCATACAAGTAAGATCTTGGTGAAGATAATTCAAAAATGGTTGCAGCAGTATATTGACAAAGAACTTCCAGAGGTGCAAGCTGGATTCAGAAGAGGACGTGGAACAAGGGATATCATAGCTGCTGTCAGATGGATCTTGGCTCAAAGCAAAGAATAACAGAAAGATGTTTACTTGTGTTTTATTGACTATGCAAAGGCATTTGATTGTGTAGAACATAACAAATTGTGGATGCCTAAGGGCAAGTTTCAGAGTCTCTTCTGTCATCAATTGAGAAGAATGGGAATTCCAGAACACTTGTTTGTGCTCATGAGGAACCTGTACATTGACCAGGAGGCTGTCATTCAGACAGAACAAGGGGACACTGCATGGTTTAAAATCAAGAAGGGAGTGCGTCAGGGTTGTATCCTTTCCCCATACTTATTCAATCTGTATGCCGAGCAAATAATTTGAGAAGCTGGACTATGTGAATAGGAACATGACATCAAGATTGGAGGAAGAATCATCCACAACCTGTGATACACTGATGACACAGCTTTGCTTGCTGAAGGTGAAGATGACTTGAGG